AACCGCTAACGGCTTTCCCAGATGGCAGTGTGTGTATGTGTGTGTGTGAGTGTGTGGGTGTGAGTGTAAAGGAGACACAGAAAGGGTGAGAGTGAAAGAAGACGAGCACTAGAGAGTATGTGTGTGCATAAGTGTATTATCAGAGATAAGTGTGCTAGCATGTTTATGAGTCGGCCGGTGCATGCACAGGGGACAGCAGCTGTGTAAGTACAGTGTGTGCACATTCTGGACACTATTTATTGATTGATAGGCCTCACCTCCCACTGAGTGAGATGCCAACTAATGCCCACTAATTGCCCTAGGATGTTCTAGTTCTACGATGTCTTTAGTTTAATACTTAACAGCTGAGATGTCTCTTCTGATTCTTAAGTCACGTTTGAGGATGTCCCTCTTGAGAATGGCTCTCATGATTTAAGTATTGTAAGACTTGAGTTTGGTTCAAAACGTACTAAACAAGCACTTTTTTCAGGTGTGAGTTGTGTTTAAATATATATTTTTTACTTTGGTGAAGCAATAAGTAATAAGACAAACAACTTCAGATAGTGAAACATTTCTTAAAAGTCTCAGTGGAAGCTAATATGAATAAGCAATATAATTTCAATCAGATTGTTTATGATAACTAAAAGGATCCAAAGGAAAAAACTGCCCAACAGTGTTTACGTGTATACCAAACACGCATCAATCCATCCATTTTCGTAACCACTTGTTCCCTGATGGGGTCGTGGGGGGAACTGGAGCCTATCCCAGTGGTCAATGGGCGAGAGGCGAGGTACACCCTGGACGGTCCACCAGTCCATCGCAGGGCCACACAAGGACAAACAACCACTCCTAAGGGCAATTTGCACTGTCCTACCAACCTAACATACAGGTTTTTGGGAAGAAAACAGAGAGAACCCACGCAGACACAGGGTGAACATCCAAACTTCACACAGAAATGTCCTGGTTCCCCCGGGGACTTGAACCCAGAACCTTCTTGCTGTGAGGCAATGGTGCTAACCATAATATGTAATATAATGTCTTGTCAGAAAGAGACAAAGGCAAATAAGGACAGCAAATAAGATGGCAGCCTTTCTTTCTAGAGCTCTGTCACATGCACACATATTCAATCTCACACACAAATAAACAACAATATAAAAAATGGTGATGTGAAGCTCGGATGATTTTTACAGATCACAAACGGTTCCACCTACAGCTTCATCTCTCCCCCAATCTGTCCCTGCCTTATGCCCTTTCTCTGACCACATCCGTCCTTCCCTCCACCTCTCCCCTTCCACTTCTCTCATTTTGTTCCTTCTCTATCCCCCATTTCTGCTTTGTGTCGGGGCCTCTTCCCCTCTCCCTCTCTCTGGTCTCCCTGCTAAATAAACAATGCAAAAAGTTGACCTTTTGGGTTAACAGGTTTTTATGCTAGCTCTACTCAGCACTCACACTGATTCAATTACCACCAAAGGTCCACTGAACCCCACGAATAACCAAGGAGCCCATGTGCCTGTCTGCCTATGTGCATGCTATTGTGGATCTCAGTAAAGGGGTTTCTGGCTGAGATTGAAATTTGGAATCTCTACGTACCTGTTTGCTGACCATTTAACTGGAGACTATATGTATTATCATTCAGTGTTTTTCTTTGTGTTATCAAGTTGAGATGCCCAATTTGAACAGGAGTATAATACTGAAGAGTACAGCTTCTCTGCACAGAGGAGTAGACAAACAGCGTGTGCAAAACTGCTCAGATTTTTATAACAAAAACAGTCCAGTCACTCATCTTGATCCTGCTCCCATCAACCAACCAACATAACCCCCATTTTTACCACCATTCCTCCATCATTCCCTCTCTCCCCCTCCTTCTCATCCACCCTCTTTTCTTTTGAGTGTTATTTAGGCTTTACTGGCACATGTAAAATTCTGCAATTTGAAGGGCTGTTAAGTTTTCAATTGAAATTTTCATATAAGATGCAGGTGATGCTTTTTTTTTTTGGTAACTGACGGTTTACTGCTCTCTGGACAGGAGGGAACGAGTGTCGAGGGACTGCATGGTGATGCTTCTTGGTCTAGTTTTTCTGGCTATGTATCTCTCTACCTCTTTATCTCCAGCTAACTCCTTCTGTTTTCCCATCTCTCACCCTTTGCTTCCCAAAAGCTTCCCACTTACTCCTACATTTTTTCCAGTCCCTTCACATTGAATGTTTTTTCCTTTTTATTCCTTCTCTCCCTTCATTCGTCACTCTGCACCTCCCTCCTTTACTCCTCCTCTCTCCAGTAAAACACAGTAGCAGCAGGCTAAAACAGAAATGCAGGGCTGCCAAGCCTTAAATCACATTTATAAGGATTTGGTTAGCATAGTAATAACACAATCAAGTGACAAGGACTTGGAGAGGGGGAGGGAGTGTACGAAAAGAACAGTGTGTGTGTACGTGTGAGTTTGCCTCCTATATATCTTTGTGTGTATGTGTGTAGCCCACTGTCATTCCATGTATTAAGTGTGTATTCTACATGTGTTCATCTGACAGAAGAAAAAAGGGTATTATTTTTAGCTATGCACGAGGTACCATGCACGCTTGTGTGTGTCCTTTCTGGGATTGTGTGTATGTAGGTGACCGGGCTTTTGAAGGTGAGTTGAGGCTCCTTGGAGTCATAAGGAGGACAAATGCTGAGCTTTACTGTGATCAAGATGCTTACAACATGGTGTCAAAACGTGACAAGAAATAGAAAAACTATTTACATTGCATTTCATATTTTTATTTTTGTGCAGATTATTTTAAGTCATCACAGCTTTAGGGTTAGTGAATAAGAGGCTTGATCAAGGTCACGAATTTGATCTGTAACCAGAGCATTATAACTATGTCACGTGCATTAGTCTTTAAGTAACCACAACCATTGCGTTGCCTTTGAAATGTCAAGTCTTAAAAAAATTCCAATGTCCATTCCAGTTGCTAATGATTTGGAATGATTTATTCAAGACAAAGTAAGTCACCTTCTGAGGTATATATGTATGACTAAAATAGTAGGAAAAGTGAATATCAACCTTCAAACTTCAAACAGGAAATGTAATTTGTCAGAAAACTTAAATCAACATCTACTTTGCATGTGTGCAACAACTCTGACAGGTTTCCATATCTAACTGACGGGATGGCTGTTTTCACAATGGTGCCTGTATGACTCACATTATAAGTCTGGGACAATACACTGTAAAGGGAATTGTAAAATTGCTGTCCTGAAAATGTTCCATTATGACTAAATAAAAACAAAACACCCACAGATCTCACTGTTGTCATTTTGCTTGTTTCACAGAGGAAATAAAAGCGTAATGCAGCCAGATGAGTGAAAGCAAATCATTGCACAGATAAGCATCGATAAAAACCACGAAACACTGCCGTAACTGTTGTAGACTGAGCCCAGCCAGGTCAGTCATGTCTGAATACCTCTTGTCAGTATTATCAAACTCTCATGGCATGCATGGGGAACAGATTTTAACCAGCATCACAAGCTAGTGTAGCGGTTGTTGAAGGTAGGAACACAATGCTGAGTGGAAGAAGATGGGGACATTAGCTATGGGATCTGACTCAAACAACAATCCCCTTTTTTCATTCCTCTTCTGAGTGCTTTCAGCATTGTTGTGATAAATGAGTTTCCACACAACAAATGTCAAGATCATGTCATTTTTTACGTTAAAAAATGCTTTACTGTGGATTATTTTCTTTTTCTCAGATCTTTAAAAAATATGACAGGTAATTGTTTAAAAACAAAATAAGATGCCAGGCTAATTTAAGCTCAGGTAATAAATGTGTATTTATACATTGGGTATCTCTGTGAAGTAAGAACTGGATTATAGTCACTCCACTGCACAACTTCATTGGTTATGCTTACTGACTAAAATGCAGGGGGAAAGGTGGAATAATATTTTATTAATGCAGCCACTCATTAATTAAATAACATGAATTCTTTGTGTTCTGCCATTACCTCTAACCTTTTTTTTAATCCCCCTTTACACTTCCTCTGTCTCACTCTGCTTTAGGTTCACTTTTGCTAAAAAGGGATTTTTCTTTAATGTTCTAATTTTATTTAATGTTCTCTCTCTCTCTGTCTCTCTCTCTCCCTCACACACATACACACACATACATGCTTTCTTTCTAAGACTGCTTTGCTAAGATCATTTGGTTCAAGTGGAGCTTCATTCATACTCTTCACAGCACTCTGTAATACACACCTCTCTTCCAGAACCTACATATGCCACAGACACACACACACACACACAAACACACGCACACACACTCTTAGATCACTTATCTGGTGTGAACATGGGAGTAGACAGAGGAAAGGGAGCTGTCCAACACGGGTAGAGTTTATGTTCACAGGAGCCGTCTGTCTGTTCTGCAGCGGCAGGAATTCATAGAGACCAAATTACATTAAAAAGATGGATATAAAACTTTAATGGAATGATAAAAAGGAAAGGAGGGAGTGTGGGTCTCTCTCTTTCTCTATTCTGTCATTAGCCTTTTCTTCTCTTCCTCTTTTCCCTCATTTCCTTATTTTACCCTTTTCTTCTTGGATTTTTCTTTCTTTACTTTTTCACCCCATTTCCTCTTAATTTTTTGTCCTCAATACTTGTACGAAAGGAAAG